ACAACTGAGATAATCGAGTTGTGAGCAGGAAGAGAAAAATGCCAGAAAGGAGAGTCTTTCACTTAGGTGTTGCTGTGATTGACTTTTATCATTTAATTGCAGGCCAGAAATAAAATAATGGGTTTGCAGGTTCCTTCCCACTGCCTGTTCTCCACATTTACTCTTCCCCATCACGAAGGAGATATTTTATTTATTTATGTTTTGTAATGGGAGAATTCTGAGACCCTTGAAACAGTCTGTGCTCCTCTTAGGGTTTTTTTTTGTTTTACCAAATAATTTCACCAAGTTCCCCTTCCTGATAAACTTGCTGTATTTATACATAGGTTGTTTAAGGCAATTTGTTTGCATAAGAGGTTACAAAAGCTTTTCTGTGCAAGACAATATGGTATTGTTTCTCTTCTGTCCTCTGTAAGGATTAACAAGTGTGAGGAATTCACATTTTCTGTGAAGAAAATAACACCCTTGTGGTTTCCTCAGCTATGTCAGTCCAAAATCTCTTCATAATTTGGCTGCCCTCATGAACCTCAGCTTTGACTTTTCTTGTTTTTTAAAGGTTTTGTTAGTAATTTGCTGCACAGCTGTACATACTTTCTAATTGGCAGCCTACAGTGCCTTAGTCTGGATATTTGTTTTGCTGTGCAGATACAAAGGTCTTCATTTCCAGTAACTTACTGAAACAAGGTTAGCCATGTGGGGATAAACATACAAATGTGTTTATCAGGCCACTCTTATTTAACCTCAGGAATTGGATCATACTTCTGAAAAGGGCAGGGGGAGGGGGGAAGTCTTTGCACTCCATTCCTTTCTCTGAGGTGGTGTGTGATTTTTGTGGGTTTCTTGTTTGGGGGCCAGGTGGGTTGGTTTATTTATGGAAGATTATGGTTTGAAAGCCTGTATCAAAGTTCAGAGCTGAGAACTATTTCAGAAGTTACCTTTGGAAAGGCCACATGAAGATAGAAATTTAAACCTCTTGTGCCTTTCCCTAATTTGTCTGAGGTGTTTGAAAACAAGCAACAAAGAACATGTGTTTGCATTCTTCAGAGTAGAGCTGTCTTCAGACTTCCCTGTACTTCTGTCAAGGCTTTGGTTGGCATGCCCTGACGTTCTTGTTAATCACAGTGACTGTCTAATATAACTAAATAACAATTTTGGGCAAGTTATGTTAATCTGCTGCACCCCTGTAGTACCAGTTGAACTGAGCTTCCTAGAAACAGACACTTTGAAAGTGTTTCTTAAGTTTTTCTGAATACTACTGCAGAAACCCATTTATTCAGGTAAACAATTGTAAGGAAGTTTGCAGTTACTGAACTCTAGAAGATTGGGTGTTGGCACAAAACTGTTCTTTAATCTATTTTTATTCCAGTTAAGTCCACTTGATAATACTGAGTGTTGCTGCTTCTATGGGACCACGTATGTAGTGTTGCCTGGGTAAAGATAAAGTATTTATGGACTGTGATCCTGAGTTTCGAGTTGTGTTAGCACTCCCACAGCAAATACGTTGGTTTCTGAATTTTACTTCGTTTTTGATTTTAATTAATGTCTTCAGTTCTGTTTACTCCAGTGCTGTGCTCTGTTCTAATGATTTGTCATTGTTGTCCATCATTCCATCTTCTTGCTCTCTGCACAGGCTTGTAAAAGAGGGAATTCTGACATAGTGCGGCTTATGATTGAAAGTGGAGCAGACTGTAACATTTTGTCAAAGCACCAGAACAGTGCACTGCATTTTGCTAAACAGTGCAATAACCTGCTGGTGTATGAGCAGCTCAAGAGTCATTTGGAAACGTGAGTAAACTGTACTTTGAAGTTTGTTCTGGTGAATTTGCAGTACTGGGCATGTCGTAGTTTTAGTTTAAGTCCCAGGGAAGAGCAGGAGATTCCGGGAAAGAAAACAGATCTGATGTGGGCAGAAAGCTAACTAATAAATCCTGTGAAATTAAAATTATGTGAGCTAACAGAATTAGCAGACACTTGCTTAAACACGGAGTAAGAAGATGGAAAGGAGGAAAAGAGAATTACTAGAAGTAAAAGATTCCTTAAACTAGAAATACAGCAATTTGGAAAACTAAGAAGTGTGTAAGCACTGTGGTGTTGAATGTAAACTCTTATTAGGGCATGCCAAATAAACCACTTGATAAAAAGGATTTAAAAAAATTAAAAACAAAAGAACATGTAACAGAAACACCATGGAAAGTCAGTGCAGATAGTTAGGTTGTTGTTGGACCCTTAAATGCCAGCAGTGAGCTGGAGTGCCAGCGGTAAAGCTTTCGTGCCAGTAACTGATGGAGGTAGAAATCCTCACTGTGCAACAGAATCACTGAAGGGCAGTGCAGTGTGTGTGGTATGTGATGCATTCGTGTCATCTGGTCATGAAAAATATTCTGAGCTGATGAACAGGGATGCTAGATGAAGATAGACAGAGAGATAAATATCAGTTTGGAGGAATACTGATAGCTAATGTATCGGGGCAGAAAATCATAACCAACAGACTCTAAACTTGAAGAAGACTCAAGGAAGGTCTCAGCTTCTGCAGCAGGTGAGGTTTTGCCATGAATGCAGAGTGCTGCAAGATCCTTTTACTGGTTTATGATGATTTTACTCTAATGATATATCTATATAAGACTATCAAGTAGTCCAAGCTCATTCTCTTCTATTTTAGTGTTTAGAAAGCCCTGGCTGTTTTCTGTCTCTGATCATCAGCTAACATCCTAAATCTGTCTTGACAGAAACTGCCTTGCAGTGGTCACTGATACATGTTGTAGTGCTGAGTTTGGTAAGGGCCTCAGGAGGTGGTCTTGTCCAAGCCCTCTCCTCAGGCAGGGCCACCTAGAGCTGGTTGACCTGGACCCTGTCCAGATGGTGTTTGAGTATCTCCAAGGATGGGGACCTCTAACCATTCTGGGCAGCCTGTGTCAGTGCTCCATCACCCTCACGGTAAAAATGTGTCTTGTGATGTTCAGAGGGAAATTCCCATGTTTTAGTTTGTGCCCACTGCCCCTTGGGCACCACTGAAAAAGGCCTGGCTCTGTCCTCTTTGCCCTGTCACTTCAGGTGTTTATTGATACATACACATTGATAAGATCTCCCTGAGCTGCCTTTTCTCCAGGCTGAGCAGTTACAGCTCTCCCAGCCTTTCGTATGTCAGATGCTCCGGTCCCTTTAACGTCTTTGTGGCCCTTCATTGGGCTCTCTGCAGTATGTCCATGTCTCTCTTGTAGTGAGAGGAGCTGGACACAGCACTCCAGGTGTGATCTCAGCCCAGTGATCACCTCCCTTGACCTGCTGGCAATACTTTGCCTTGATGCAGCATAGGATACCATTGACTGCCTTTGCAGCAAGACCATGTTGCTGACTCATGTTAGCTTGGTGTCCACCAGGGCCTTTTCTGCCAAGCTGCTTTCCAGGTGGGTGACTCCCAGTATGGCCTGGTGCCTGGAGATGTTCCTCCCCTGGTACAGGACTTTGTACTTCTTTGTTGAACTGCATGAGGTTCCCGTTGGCCCATTTCTCCAGCCTGTTGAGGTCCCTCTGGATGGCAGCATGACCCTCTGGTGTACCAGCCATTCCTCCCAGTTTAGTGTCATCTGCAAAGTTGTTGAGGGTACACTGCCCCATCATGCAGGTCATACATGAAGATGTGACACAGGACCAGATGCAGTATTGACCCTGGGGGTACACTGGGGGTGACTGGCTTCCAGCTAGACGTTGTGCTACTGATTTTTGCTGAACTAATGTGTTCTGATCCAGTTTTGTACTGGGAGGGGAGTATTGTGATGATAGTATTTACAGTGCACTGTAAAGCTTATCTGAGGTATTTCAGATCACTGCTTTGAATGTCTGTCCTGGGCAGATAGAAGGTGTAAGGAATGTTTCCCTATTATAGCAGGCTAAATGGGGAGGGGGGGGGGGGGGGGGAAGTGATAAAAGCATAAAACCTAATAATAATTAATCACTGTAGTAGCATGAATTATTCAGAGTGTAACACAGCTCTTGCCAATTGAGGATGCTTCTAAACTTACTACCTGAAAATACAAGTTCAGTGCTGCTTGTCAGTCAAAAGGAAGGTAATATGGAGCTGAAAACAGAACTTAAATCCATGGTGTCCAAATGCTTTAAATAGTATGTGCCATTCCAGTTACCTTGTTCCAAAGCCAGATGAAGCCAAAAGGGGAAGTAAAGATGGTCAGACATACGGAGTAGCTTCTGTGAGGATAGGCTGAGGGAGGTGGTACACATCCCCCTGGGCCAGAGTGAAAGGTCAAAAGGTAAAATCAAACCAGAAAACAACAACAGAATATAACTCAAAGCTGTGAGGCAGGTTCTACAGGCCGTCCTGTTAAATGGTTTAATGATAGGTTTGAAATGGAGGAATATTTTTGCACCAAAAAAATGAAATGTGGATCTTGTTGCAGAATGCTGTGGTTACAAATGCATAGGATTTTAGAAGGGATTAGGTAAATCTAAGGAGAGGTGCAGTTTGGCTGCAATCTTGAGTTTTGGATGCCTCTAAGCCAGACTGCTGGAAACTAGGACAGTGTACCAACAAAAGACAACTGCTTAATTTCCAGTATTTAATGGAGTTTTGTCTGGCTTCTGGAAACTAGGCTGGGTGGGCTTTCTGGGCTTGCTTTGGTATGGGGATTCTCATGGTCTTTTTCCGATGAGACACAGTTTAGATTGGGCAGGTGGTAATCTTTGGCTAGCATGGAGGGGAGCAGGCTCTGAATACAGCTGGAAAAGCTGTAAAGCTGAGAAAGTCAGGACCTTTGCCTTGCAAAAGTGTTTAAAACCCGTTTGTGTCAAAACAGCTTTCTGAAGAGGGTTACTCAGTAACCTGCTTGTAAAGGTGCCAAATACTGTTGGTTCACGAGGCTTCTCTTTGCAAGCTAGGCTGCTCGCTTAAGTTACACCCCTCCCAGCCCAAAAAAGCCCAAAACCTACCATGTTTAATGGTAGTGTCACTACTATTTCACTGCATTATTAGGAAGGTTTTTTACTGGGAACTGCATTTTTCTCAATAGTATTGCCAGTGACTGACTTTAGTTTTATGTTGTACTCGCAGTTAGGTTGATAAGTGAGCCATGCAGGGAGGTGGTTGTCTGTTCAGCCAGCAGGTACATACTGGTGTTTGGGAACATCTTCTACATAAACAGCCTTCAAAATATGTGGCTAGTCAGAATTATTTGTTTCAATGGGCTGCAGTGCATTTGTCTCAGCTTTTAAGTTTGTGAACCTGATAGATGAATGTCACAAATAGACCACTGACAAAATGTTTTATTAACAAAGTATTGGGGCCTGGGGTTCATCTATGCATAAATGGTAATGACAAAGGCATTCACTCCTGAAAATCAGGATTCCAAAAGGTGATCTGGAATGCTTTTTTTAATCGGCTCTCACTAACTCTCTGAAGTAATTTTACTGTGTGAAGCACAGGCCTCACTTGTTTGGTCTTTTAGGCTCTCAAGAGTAGCAGAAGATACCATCAGGGATTATTTTGAAGCTCGTCTTGCTTTGCTGGAGCCAGTCTTCCCAATTGCGTGTCATCGACTGTGTGAAGGGCCAGATTTTTCTACAGATTTTAACTACAGACCCCCCCAAAATATACCAGAAGGTAGGGGGGTGCCGGTGTGCTGGGTTGGTTGGTTGGGATTTAAAAAATGGGTGGAACAGTGTGTTAAGAAACTGCCTTTTTAGTATGTCTTAAAGTAACTGTGAAATTACTTGTGTATGATTACTGCAGTGCGTTAAGGATGCTCTGATTATGGAGCGTGGGGAGAGCAGGGATGTTTTGATGCATTGGGGGTGGAGTTTGTGTGTATCTTTTTGTTTAAGAGGTTTTTATCACACATGCACAGTTGCTTTCCCCTGTTCGTGGGTTACATGAGCTTTGTGAGGGTTGCATTAGCTCAGTGCAGGTGTTGCAGGAAAGGAATGGTTTAACTTAGAATTAAGACTTCTGAACAATCTTAGTCTAAGTGTACTTAGAAAACCTCATAGTGGATCATCTTGTTCTGTAGACAGCGCCTAACAGACTGGAATCTTGAAGTATAGGCACAGCACTGTCAGGCTGTAAACACAGTCTAGAAATACTACCAAAAAGAAGCCAGTATCAATCAACTCTGTCTTGCCCACAGACACTTTGAAAAAGCTGGGAATCTAATTCCAGAGATACTTGGAAATGTTTCTTCATTCTTTCAGGAATCCAGATATTAATCTCTGATGCTTGGTATATCTGAGTCATTTTTATTCGCCTTTTGAGTATATTGGGGCAGTATCTACTTTTTGATTTTTCTTGAAATACTACATTACTGGGACTGTGAAATAGTGTTTAAAGCAAGGCTGAAAGTGTTTGTGTCATCCCGGTTTTCTGGCTGTTGAGAGTTGTAGTGTAAGTCTTACAGCTTGTGATTAGAGGTATCCTACAGAGAATTAAGAAACCTTGTATCAGTTTATGTATTAAAATGAAGCATCTGTGGGTATTGAAGATTGTTGTTCACTGAATTCCAGCACAGTTCATAAAGATCTAAAATAGACTGGGCTTGGTTGTCCTTACCAACAGAAGAGAGAACCCAAACCACATGAAATTCCATTCCTTAGGTAGACCTAAACCCACAGAGGTGAACTTTACCAGGGATTGCTGTACCCACTTTGCTTTCCTTTCTAACAGCCACGTAAAATTATTTCTGCTGCCAAAGGACTTTAACTTAGTGACCAAGTTAGTTGTGTTATGGGCACAGTGGATCCACTGCCTGGGAGATGGGACTTCTGCATGTTGCTTGGATACTCCGTAGGGGTTTAATATATATGATATAATGTTTATATTTGTACCCGTCTTCAAAGGTGCACTGTATGCAGTCATTCTAAGCAAAAGATCTCATTTCTAATTCACGTGACTGAATTGCCTTCCCTTTCAGGCTCTGGAGTTCTTCTCTTTGTTTTCCATTCAAACTTCTTTGGTAAAGAAGTCATCGCTCGGCTCTGTGGACCATGCAGTGTACAAGCTGTGGTTTTAAACGACAAATTCCAGCTCCCTGTATTTTTGGTAAATCTTTTCATATAATTGATTGACTGTTAAGTTGCTTTCTAAAAGTCTTTATGGAGCAGCCTGGAAAATCCTAGTCCCTTAATTTGGACTTTTGAGTATTGTGATTTAAGCATTTTTTTATTATCATGATAATGTGTTTTTTCTTAATGAAACTTAATTCTTCTTTGTATATGGAGAGAACTACAAACCTTGTGTGTACCTGACTCCATAGAAATTTGTAACTTGAAAGGCAGGGACATAATGCTGGGCAGCCTGCTTCTAGGCAGCCCTGCTGGAACAGGGGGGCTGGACCAGATGACATTGAGATGTCCCCTCCAGCCTCAACCGTTGCATGGTTCTGTGGCTTCAGAATGGAGGGTTTGAGCAGGCAGGTGCGAGTTTAAAACTGTTGAAGCTCTCAAATTTGTGACCCAATAAGTTCTTAAATATTTAACAAACTACCTCATAGTTCTAATGTGTTGTTTATTTGGGGTTTTTTTTAATCTACTAAATGCATCATTGCACAATTCTCAAGTCCTCTTGCTTTCTCTGTGGCTGCACCAAAGGTTCTTTGTAGAATGCCCAACTTTCTATCAAAAAATGCATACTGAAAATGTGGTGTTGTATTGGTCCATTCACGTAGCACTTTCAGGCGTATCTTGCCACTAACCTTGTCCCTTTTCTTTTTCCTTTCAGGACAGTCACTTTATTTATTCCTTCAGCCCCACTGCAGGCCTTAACAAGCTTTTTATACGGTTGGCAGAAGCTCCTGCTGCCAAGGTACAAAGCAGTCTCAAGTGTGCATGTTAACTTGTTGTACGGATGACTCTTCCATACGTGTTGCAAATGTAAAACTTAAGGACTTTCCTCATCCCAGTTCCCATCAGTTGCAATTCCACCCTGTTACATTGCCAGAACTTAGGAAAGTTGCCAGGGGCATCAGTTGTCATAATTAAATGTCTATGCTGCAGGCAGAATAATTCAAGCACCAAGGTAATGTTACAGCTAAATATCTTCCCCATTTATATTGTGAATTAAGTGACACTTACATGTTAGGCATTAAGTTTTTGCATACAGGTACTTTTGCTTGTGTGTTTAGGAGAACTTGGAAGTACTTAACTGGGATGTGTAGTCTGCTTTTAAGTAGGCCGTGTAGTCTGTTGTATTTTCTAGGTGTTTTGGGCAGCAGTCCCACTATGTGTTGCAAGATAAGTAACAGACCCTGTTCTGGTAGCGTTTCTTTTATCCTTAGAAGATACACCAGTAAAGTTTCTAGATCTTCAGGTTTAAAAATTCTACTCTTAAATACTTTATTGCGCACATTTAAAAGGGGGGAAAAATTGAACTCCTGTTCAGATGGAAGTGTATGTGTGTGTGTAGATCAGATTCAGGGCTCCCTTGTTCAAACACCACCTAATGGCAGCTGAATTCCACTGGAGTCCTTTTAAAAGTCATTCATATTTCTGTGGGGCTGCTACAGACTGATCTCAGTAGGATGTAAATTCCTTTTTCTTCCCCTCCTCAGTCACGAGCAGTTGTACACCTTTTCTCGTGCTATTCTCATAGTAGAAGTGTTTAACACAGTAGTTCCTTGTGGATGATCTTTAAATGAAACCTTTGTTTGCTCTCCCAGGTGAAGCTGCTGATCGGAGCATACAGAGTGCAGCTGCAGTGACCTCACAGCTGTGAGCGTGTTCAGTGGACGGACATTGTTTTGGATGTACTTCTGATTTCTCTGTTTAGAGACTGACAGAGCAGTTTGGAACTTTTTGGCACCATGCTCCTAAGACTGCGTTCCCATCTCGCTGTCCCTTGCTGGCAGCCACGTAGGGAAGTGTGCGTTGGAGAGGAGCTGGATCTGCAGCACTCGTGGGACAGGGCTGTCAGCTTTTTTTACTTTGTACAGGTGTAGATATAAGTATTTGTGCCAATACATGGAATTCTGGTTTTCTTTAACATGCCGAGTCCAGACTGCATATTTCAGCTTTTCCACAATGTGGAACGGTGCATATAAGAACTATTTAAGGTAACTATGTGAAATGTCTTTTTTAATAGATCTTTCCATTTGTAAACTAAGGTTTTCTACTTACTCGGGCATTTCTATGTACAATGCAGAACTGTCATAGTCCTGGAGCCGTGGGCAGAACTTACACTTTTAAGTCATTGAGTTACCTTTAACTTTGAATTGCTGAGGGCTGGTTTGGAACTGTTTTAGTTTGGAACTGTTCCTGCTACTGTCTACCAACAAGAAAGCAGTTCTGCTTAGAGCGATTCCCTCTGAACACACACAGTGAGGTCTGCAGGCACCAGCAGTGGCATTGGGATAGGCCCAGCTGCTAGAAGAGTGCAGTCGGATTCCTACTTACACCAGTGTTTTAAAACTACTTTTGTGTTAGAGAAGCAACTGGTAGTTTTACAGACAGCTTTACTTGTGACTTCTTTGACATTCTTGGATGTATCGGAAAATAAATACAAGGTAAGAATAGCAAACCAGAGAACTTGCAACTCCCTTCAGTGTGCAGGCGGTGCTTGATGTAGGCAGGGAAGATACATCGACAGTCTCAGATGTTCTCAGCCTGCCAGATGAGAAAACGTATTGTCCTTTAACCCAGAAATCCAGTTCCTCAGTGCAAAGAGCTGCTATCTTTTTTTTTTAATTGTTATTTAAATGACAGCAGTTCTGTAACGGTCCTGTGCTACAAAATACAAATGTAATACTTCTGCATGAAGTATAGAATATTTTTCTTTGTAAATTAACCAACATCTTGAAAAGCATAACAACAACAAAGAAAAAATAAAACCAGATTGTGCCTTTGCTGTTCTGGTTGCCACGTGTAGTTTACATGCCACTCTGTGCCTACAATACTGGAGAAACCATTGCAGATAAACGCCTGATGTATTTGAGTGCTTGCCATCGAAACGGTGCCGATGTATTCTTTTAAAAACTGTGACTTTTTAATACAAAGTTCAATTAACCAGTTTTCCATTTTGGGTTCTTAAAAGTGTTTTTTAACCTTTTTATATGTAAGAAATTACAAGTGAGTGGGTACCAAAGCACACTGCTTCAGTTCTGTGGAACATCGCATTGAGCTGTGGAAGATTAGAACAGCAACACGACCTATGACCACTCACATTGTTCTGGTTTAGAACAGTCGCCCATCTTGGGACCACTCATGGCTCTGGGTCTTTTTAGTTGCTGCGTGTATCCCTGGATGATGAGCATGGAGAGGGAACATACGTGAGTGGTCCCTTACACTGAGGTGATGGTGCCCATGTATATGGCTTCCCCTTCCACAGTCACTCCTTGGTGTACATGTAAGGGGAGCTGGCACATGCGTGACCAGTTCTGTACAGCACCTGTCTCTGGTAAATGTTGGAGCTGTTCAAGGCAAGGACGAAAGGTTTAGGAATTGATGCCCGCATTACATAGATGCTGTTTAGAAACTGTTGTACAATCTGACCTAAAAATAGACAGTCATGGTCCAGGAGCTGATGTAGCAATTAGCTTGTCAAAGGCTGATGAGTTGAGGAGTTTGTGTTTGGGGGTTTTGTTGTTTTTCCTGAGACATTTAAGAGTGAGGGAGGAGTTCTACAGGACATGGGAATAAAATTTGTGTTCATGATGCTTTTATTAAGGGATGGATTTTGTAGCCATCTTCCTCTTGTAGTTGGCAATATAAACTCCAAATCCATGCTGAAGATGCATAAAAGGCATATGAAAAGATGTTTGAAGTTGGTTTTTGTCTGATTCTATTCCATGCTTTTTATTCAGTTGTTAAGAACAAGGTTTTGGTGGACAAAGGGTGAAGAGAAGGTAGTTACAATAAAAATAGTTCTTCAAGTGTTGTTGAGAAATACCTTTGAAGTACTTGCTCAGTTTCTTCTTGCTGCCATTATGATGAAGTGCAAGGGTAGCATGTGTTTCTGAAGGCTTGAATCTGTTACCTTTCACTGCTTCATCATCAGCCCTGGTGGTCCTAGCTTCTCTCACAGATGCTGATGTGTAGTGGGTGATGCTGACTTTGTCACAGGTCCTCGGTGCATTCTGCAGCCAGTTCTCAAAAACAAGATGTTTTCCATTGGTCTGAATGGAAGAAAGTGGCTTCAACCTAGGGGAGAGACAGGTACCAGAGAACACACTGGCTGTCTATCTCAGCCAGCCAGGATTGCCTCAAGTCCTGGAAGTGCTCTATCTGTACCTGCTCTAATTCTGTTGCCACAGCACCAGAAACCAGGGTGGGGGTTCTTCCCAAGAATTTCTGTAATACTTCCTACGTGCTTTGAACAGCAACAAACTGTTCCATAGTTGGTTACTCGTGTAACTTGTACAGTGGGTAGGTCAGGCCCTGGCACTGCCCAGCTCCTGTCATGTGTGGGTCACTGTTAAAACAACAGGAGGCCCAGCTCTGCTTTTATGATAACCAAAGGCACGTGTGCTGGGACTGGACATTACAACATGCCAGGGAGTCCCCAGGTACTCCAGTACTGACTCATTGCAGTGGTATGGGATGTGCTGTAGTGTTTTCAACAGGGACAGGACTGCCCCTGGGTGACATCCTGGTCTATACCACAGTCTCCCACTTCCTGACAAGAAGTCTTGTTCCCTTGAGCTGTTCCTTGTACAGGTTTTCCATAGCCAAAGGGAGAGAATATGAATTCGGGGAGTAAAAGCCCAGTTGGGCCGTGATGACAGCAGTTGCATGTCTTGAGCAACCTGGTCTGTTCCTGCCCATGGCAGGGGTTGGAACTAGGTGATATTAAGATCCTTTTCAATCCAAACCATTCTGTGAGTGCAGTCATCTGTATTACAGGGAGAAAGCTGCCAGGAGCAGTAACAACCAGAGCCCCATCCTGCAAAGGGTTTTTGTGTATTTATTACTGTTTTTTCAAAAAGCTTTACCAAGCTGGTTCAGACATCCTGTCTGAAGAGTTTGCACAGGAGATACGCAAAGATTTGAAGTCTCCCAAGCTTTCCTGGATCTGTCGGATCTATACATTGCTTTTTCTGTGGACAGCAGGATCAAGGCCCCTAAACCCAACAAGTGAACATCACCTCCCTGCCCCACGACTGGCTCCTTGTGTTCTCCTTTCCTGAAACAAAAGGGTTACCAGGAACTCTCAGTGGTTCTACACTGTGGGGAAACCAATTAACTGCAGGAAGACAGTACTGATTGCACGGGTTTTATTAGTGGTGTGATACAACATTTGGATATACCGGTAATTATATGAGAATTCCTCACTACCGTGCACTGCTAAGGCAAGCCTGGCTCCATCTTCTACCCACGCCCTGTCCATTACACAGCTGAGGAAGGTGATCTCCTGCCCCCCGAGCTCCTGTTTTCCAGACTACAAACCCCACTGCCATCCCCATGGCTCCTGGGCTTTAACCTCCTCATCATCATTGTGGCCTCCACTGGCCTGTTCCCACATATGTCTGGTCTTCTGGAGGCCAGCACTGGTCACAGCACTCCAGCTGCAGTCGCAAAGCACTGAGCAGAGGAAAGCCTGCCTGCCCAGGCTGCACCACAGCATTTATCTGCCTTTTCTGAACACAACGACGTTTCCGTCAGGCCCTGGATCTGTGTTCACTGCCTGTTGATAACAGAAAATAAACATCCTGTTATTCACTGCTCAATTTAAACCAGTTTCATAATAGATACAGAAACCCTAACAAAACCCTGGTGGTATGTTACAGTGCAATGTTAAACTCTGCATCAAAATTCATTTTTCATTATTCATTTTGTTGATGGTTTTGGGTTTTCATCTTTTTATTGGGCTACACTAAGGCAGCAGGCATGACTTCCAACTCAGCTGCATGGACAGTGGAACTTCAGTGCAGCTCTCACCTCCCCATCAGCTAACGCTGCCTCCCCATCCTTTCCAGCTGTTGCTGGCTCAGGTACTGAATACTTCTCTTAAACTGTACTGCACCCAAACCCAATCCACACTTTTTTGTTTAAATAGAACCACTGCTTTCCTATCTTTTGTCACATGTTTTAGCGCTTGAAAATATTTTTATACTCATTTAAATCTAATGGCTTTTTTTTTTTAATTTCTTTTTTGTCCAAGCCCCATTATTTAGGCAAGGAGAAGTCTTTTAATGTATCATTTACTAGGATTCTTGTAGCATATACAAACTTTAACCCTTTTGTCAACACCATTTCCCAGCATTAGTATTTCTGGAAAGAAAATATGCTTCTGGTACAGTCTAGCTAGAAAGGGAGTCAAGACTTCAGCGACACACCAAGGTTGGCCAAAATATCAGCTTTACTAGTAAAAGCTCGACTTTGCTTTGCACTGTGGAGACCTCCACCTCTGCAAGGGACAGCAGCGTCACAAACCTGGAACTAGTTGCCTCATCGAGGAACAAGCATCTTGAATCCTGCAGGCAAACACCCTTTGCAGGTTCTTCTGATGTGTCTTTCCTAGTCCTGGGTATGGGTGGAACACGTTCCACATGAGTCCTCCCATCCTTCCAAACTGTGCCACTGCCCCAGGCCTCACAGGGTAGACTCATCTGCAAGCAAAAAGAATACAGCTTAGTGACAGCTCTCAATTTGTCCCGCTCCACTGTTCAGCTAGGTGCTACAGATCTAATGGTAACGGCTCTATTCTGGTGACCAAGAACAAAGAGAGCAACGGGGTAGGGGAGAACAACATGTAAAGCACAAAAATACTACAAAGAAACTGATAAACGAGCACCCTGATGGTTCCTGTGATCCCAACCCAAAGGGCAGCATTTTGCACCACTGTGGCACAGCAGAAAGCCAGCTTCAGTTCTGAGCGTGTACCACCACCAGCCATGCTCACTGAAGCAGAGAACAACTTTCAGGGAACGGCTGCACTTCGGGCTGCAGAGTTACAGGAGACACTGAAGTGAGAACTTCCTTGAACACATACTTTAGAGGACAGCAAACCACACGACTCAAAACGCAAACTACAGAGCAATGCAGTAGCAAATATCCCTGGGTAAAGAGCTGAGAAATGCTAACACTTTCCCCGACAGCCCTTCCGAGAGGTTACTTAGAACTCTCCAGCACTGTGCAGCAGCCTGAGAGCACAGCTTGAGCTCATCATGAAGGAGGTT